CTGCTCCTCCTGCTCCTCCTGCTCCTCCTCCTCCTCCTCCTCCTCCTCCTCCTCCTCCTCCTCCTCCTCCTCCTCCTCCTCCTCCTCTCCTCCACACCCCTTGCTCCCCTCCTCCTCCTCCTCCTCCTCCTCCTCCTCCTCCTCCTCCTCCTCCTCCTGCTCCCCCTCACCCTCGTTTTCATTTTCGTCGTCTTCAGGGCCGGCGGCACCAGCCGCAAGGCCTTCGCAATAGAAGCTGTTGGCGTCATCCGGATAGCGCACTAATGCTTGGAACTGTGATATGTCAAGAGAACGCTCCATCACTCAAGCTGAATAATCAAAGGGGAAGATGGACCAGCAGCTCCACGAGTCTGAACCCGACGCAAGACCTCGGGCACGATCACAGCAGATGCGGTGCCGATCGTGGGAACAATCGATGAACAGGGCCACCAGCGACGGAACCAGAAGTAACTACCAGCACGCGGCGGTGGAGACGCAGCCGAGGAAGAATGAGCCTAAGGTCCACAGCCAGCCGCCCTCGGCGGTCAAGATCTGACAGATGCTGGCGGGGCCAGCGCACGTGAGAGCACAGCTCACAGCTGGGCAGGAGTACGACGGACACTGGGGATACCTCAGCAGCGCCAGCTCCAGAGCGCGACGAGCGGCTGGGAGCGAGGAGGGGAACCACTCAATCGACAGCTCCCGCCCCCCTCAAACGCTCAAGCAATGGAATGCAGCGGGCATAACAGTGCAAGGCCGACAAAGACAGGAAGAGCATTACTACATACATATATAGAACCATCCAGGTCGCACCAGCAGCCGTGGAGGTAGGCGTGTCAGGCGTTTCGCTTGAGGTTTCCTTGCAGCTTACTATCCTGAGGCTACAATTAAGTCGGGCCTATCCCCCTACAGGCCGATTTTGGACGAAAAATGAAAAATACCCCCAAAATACACTAAAAATACTCAAAAATGGTCCCCGACTTAAGGCTACAAAGCTCCATCGGCTACGAGGTTGAAGGGCCGGCTGCCGAAAGTGCAAGTCTCGCCGTAACGCCACGCACATTCGCCGCAAAGCCTGCAACGGCTACAGGGACGGAGGGCCGCTGCGGCGCTCGTCTTAGCACCGCGCATATTCGTCTTGAAAGCTGTCAACATCTTTGAGAGAACGCGTTTCGTGGACGCACAGTTCGAACCCCCCTTGCACCTCAGGGGGGGAGCCTGTGCGCGTCGTCGTCGCCGCCGCCGCCGCCGCCACCTTGGTCGTCGTCGTCGTCGTCGTCGTCATCATCGTCGCCGACGTCGTCGTCGTCGTCGTCGTCGCCGCCGCCGCCGCCGTCGTCGTCGTCGCCGTCGTCGTCGTCGTCGTCGTCGTCGTCGTTGTCGTCGTCGTCGTCGTCGTCACGTGCGCGTCGTCGTCGCCGTCGCCGTCGTCGTCGCCGTCGCCGTCGCCGCCGTCGCCGCCACCTTGGTCGTCGTCCTCGTCGTCGTCGTCGTCGGCGGCGGCGTCGGCGTCGTCCCCGTCGCCGTCGCCGTCCGCCGTCGCCGCCGCCGCCTCCTCCCCCACCTCCTCCTCCTCCTCCTCCTCCTCCTCCTCCTCCTCCTGCTCCTGCGCCTGCGCCTACGCCTGCTCCTCCTCCTCATCCTCCTCCTCCTCCTCGTCCTCCTCCTCCGCCTCCCTCCTCGTCCGAATCCTCTTCCCCCTCCTCCTCCTCCTGCTCCTCCTCCTCCTGCATTATTTATCCTTATAGGTAAGTCCTCCCTGTCGCACCCCGAGGCCAGTTTTTAGAGCGGACCAGGCGTTTCGCCTGAGACTTCCTCACCATTTATGACTGTGCAGCTTAGAAAGTGGCAACAGCCTCACGGATTGACGGGTCGTTTTCAAAATGTGGCTCTTGCCTTAGCGCCGCGCACATTCATGTTTTAAAATTGCAAGAGATTCACGAGATTCACGATTTGAGGGCGGGTCGCTTTCAAAATGTGGCTTTCGCCTTAGCGCCGCACACATTCCTTTTAAACGTTCGCAGGAGCTTCACGGATTGAGGGCGGGTCGTTTCAAAATGTGGTTTCGCCGTAGCGCCGCGCACATCCGTTTTAAACATTTGCAAGAGCTTTACGGATTGAGGGCGGGTGGTTTGCAAAATGTGGCTCTCGCCCTAACGCCGCGCACATTCGCTTTAAACGTTTGCCAGAGTTATACGGATTGAGAGCGGTTCACGGATTCCCATGATCAACGAACCAGAATCTGCGCTTTGGAAAAAATTCAGGGTTATGCGGGCGCAACAGTTGTGTTGATTCGCTGCTGAAATCCCAAAATGGTGTTCTGGCACGATTCTGGATCGTCAAGACGCAGCAGTCAGGTTGGTACGTGGCGTTGAAATCCCGAGAACAATTTGTTGGCACGCTTCAGGATCTTCAAACTGTTGTCTTCCAACGAGGCAGTTCCCTCAATGGAAATGAACCGTTGTATGAGGCCCATGAGGAAAGGAGTTTGGAGGGAGGGTGAATTCCAACATCGTTGATGACTCTTGGGTTCCCACTAGTCCTCCTCGTCCTCCTCCTCGTCCTCCTCCTCCTCGTCCTCCTCCTCCTCCTCCTCCTCCTCCTCCTCCTCCTCCTCCTCCTCCTCCTCCTCCTCTTCTTATTCTGATTATTCTCACTATTCATATTATTCGTCTTCTTCGTAATATTACTATTATTCTTAGCATGTCCATTCTTAGTATTATTCGTCTTATTATTATTGTTCGTATATTTGGTATTATTATTCTTATTGTTCTCATTATTATTCTTATTATTATGATTATTATCATTAGTAGCAGTCCCATTCTTACTATTATTAGCAGTATTATTCTTATTAGTCTTAGTACTAGTAGTAGTATTCTTGTTATTAGTATGACTCGTCTTCTTCGTAGCATTAGTATTATTAGTGATAATTTTAGTCTTATTATTATTAGTCTGCGTCTGAATAGTATTAGTATTATTCTTATTATTAATGTTATTATTATTAGTAATAATATTATCATTATTATTATTCCTCTTCCTCATCCTCCTCCTCCTCCTCCTCCTCCTCCTCCTCCTTCAAGCGACGGCAAGGACAGCGACGAGGGAGACGGCAGGCGCACACTCAGAGGGCCAGCGGGTTCCTGTCGCGGACGAAGCGTGAGAGAGGTGAACGAGGCGGCGGAAGGGCGGAGCGAAGGAGAGATAGGAGGCTCAACGCCTCGGCTTGCGCCCACAAAACGCGCACACACACACACACACACACACACACACACGCACACACACATACACACACACACACACACACTTTCGGTCGTCAGCGGGCAAGCGACTCGCCACGCCGTCTGGGGAGTCTCGCGGGCGCGGGCGCGCCCGCAGGGCGGCGGGGGAGAGGAGGCGAGCGCCAGGCGCGCAGCTACGAGGCGGAGAAGCAGGGCGATCGACGCCAGGACGCCAGGGGGAGAAGAGGGCCCGTCAGAGGAAGGCGGGCGGGGGGCGGCCCGCCAGAGATGGCGGGCGGGACAAACACGCCCGAGGCTGACGCCTGGGCGTCGGGCGGACGCCTGTCCGTCCTCACCGTGCGAGTGGACTGCAGGCGGCGCGAGGGCCAGGGCAGGACGGGCGGAGGCCACCCGAGAGGCGGCGGGGCGGCGTGACGGCCCGCGCGGCAAGACCGCGGCGAGGCGCGCACGGGGGAGGGGCGGACGGCCCGGCTCGATCGGCGCAGCAGGGCCCCCCCCGGGCGATCCGCCCGAGCGAGGAGCGAGGGCCCCGGCGAGGGCCGCGCAGCCAATGAGGCGCCGAGAGGGGCGCGGCGGAGAGCCGACAGAGCCCGGGCGGCGGGCAGGGGAGAGCCCGAGCCGATCGGCACAGGGGGCCCACGCTGGTGTTCAGCAGTCAGCAGGGCCGGGCCAGCGAGGAGCGGGCGAGGGGCGCGGGGAGAGCGCCGCGCCTCGGCGATCCGCGACGAGGGAAGGCGCCAGGGCGCACACACACACACACACACACAGACACACACACACACACACACACGTATACACACACACACACACATACACGTATACACACACAGACACAAACACAGACACACACACACACGTATACACACACACGTATAAACAGACACACACAAGTATACACACACACAGACACACACACACGTATACACACACACACAGACACAGACACACACACACGTATACACACACAGACACAGACACAGACACACACACACACACACACACACGTATACACACACAGACACACACGTATACACACACAGACACAGACACAGACACAGACACAGACACAGACACAGACACAGACACAGACACACACACACACGTATACACACACACAGGCACACACACACACACGTATAAACACACACACATACACACACACAGACACACACATACACGTATACACACACACACAGACACACACAGACAGACACAGACACACACGTATACACACACACACAGACACAGACACACACACACACACACACACACACACACACACACACACACACACACACACAGACACAGACACAGACACACACACACACACACACACACGTATACACACACACAGACACACACACACACACGTATAAACACACACACAAGTATACACACACACAGACACACACACACACACGTATACACACACAGACACAGACACAGACACACACACACACACACACAAACAAACACACACACACACACACACACACACACACGCACACGCACCAGACATGAAAGAAACGGGTCCTCAGGAGCACGGGCCTGCACCCGACGGGCCTCTCCCGGGACGAGCCCCTCCTATCCCGAAACCTTTCCTGGCACGGCCCCCGGGGCCCGGGGATGGCCCGCCAGTGGCCCGGAAGACGGCGGGAAAAGCTCAGGCCCCGCCTCCCTCCGGACCAGTGCCTTCACGGCGACCACACCCACGCACACACACACGCCATGGAGGAACGAGCGGCCGGCGCGACGGGCCGCCGGGGGGTGGCGGGGGCGCGCCTGCCCGTGGAGCAGCACGGCCGCCGAGCTCCTCCGCCTCGGCGGCCCGTCCTTGGTACGCCCGAGGTGCCGCCGCCGGCGGTCGCTCGGCCGGCGGTCGTTCGGGAGCGCCGTCGGCGTCGGCGGCATCGTCGTCCTCGTCTTCGAGCTCGTCTCTCCGTCGGCGGTGCCATGTAGGCCGGTGCACCCACCATGAACCCCCCTGTTCTCTTGGAAGATGCCAAGAAAAAAGGGGGGCGGGTGCGGTTGGAATTTCGGGTGTCGCGTCGTGTTGTGGTGGTAGGATCTGGAGTACATGTGTGTGTGTGTGTTGGAGACGGAGGGAGCCTGTTGAGTATCGGGTGTCGTGTTGGAGAAGGAGGCTGTTGAGTACTCGGTGTTGTGTTGGAGACGGAGGGAGTTGAGTAGAAGGTTATTTTCAAGTTCAGCTTGGGGAGGGAGCCTGTTGAGTATCGGGTGTTGTGTTGGAGAAGGAGGCTGTTAAGTACTCGGTGTTGTGTTGGAAACGGAGGGAGTTGAGTAGAAGGTTCTTTTCAAGCTCAGCTTGGGGAGGGAGCCTGTTGAGTATCGGGTGTTGTGTTGGAGAAGGAGGCTGTTGAGTACTGGGTGTTGTGTTGGAGACGGAGGGAGTTGAGTAGAAGGGAGCTCAACAAGTCTTCCAAAAAAGAGCCTCAAAAGTGAGTCCGAAAATCGTAGGAATCATATATAAATTCATATATAATCATGAGAAAGGGGGGTTCTTGGTGCAGCTTGGGGAGGGAGCCTGTTGAGTATCGGGTGTTGTGTTGGAGAAGGAGGCTGTTGAGTACTGGGTGTTGTGTTGGAGACGGAGGGAGTTGAGTAGAAGGTTCTTTTCAAGTTCAGCTTGGGGAGGGAGCCTGTTGAGTATCGGGTGTTGTGTTGGAGAAGGAGGCTGTTGAGTACTGGGTGTTGTGTTGGAGACGGAGGGAGTTGAGTAGAAGGTTCTTTTCAAGTTCAGCTTGGGGAGGGAGCCTGTTGAGTATCGGGTGTTGTGTTGGAGAAGGAGGCTGTTGAGTACTGGGTGTTGTGTTGGAGACGGAGGGAGTTGAGTAGAAGGTTCTTTTCAAGTTCAGCTTGGGGAGGGAGCCTGTTGAGTATCGGGTGTTGTGTTGGAGAAGGAGGCTGTTGAGTACTGGGTGTTGTGTTGGAGACGGAGGGAGTTGAGTAGAAGGGAGCCCAAAAAGTCTTCCAAAAAAGAGCCTCAAAAGTGAGTCCGAAAATCGTAGGAATCATATATAAAATCATATATAATCATGAGAAAGGGGGGTTCTTGGTGGGGGCACAGGGCTATATATACATATACACACCAAAAAAAGAAGGGAGAGAGGGGAGCATGGCACGGAGGGAGGGGGGCCCGGGGAAGGGTGCGGGTCTTATCCAAGTACCTGGAACTTGCGATGTTGCACTCCATTTCGCTACCAGCGTTGTTTGTTCTACTGCATCCTGTGATGTAGAACTCGCTGGTGCAATACAGCAAGATACATAAGATGAGTGAATCGCGCCGACGCCAACGAATTCCCAACGCATATGCAGATGGCGATGCGCTGCAGTGCGGGCGCGCGACGCATAGGCGCCACGACAAAGGCGCCGCCGCGAACGCTGGCTGCGCGCGCGAGCGCGCGCAGGACAGTCGACGCTCCAGCGCGAACGGCCCCAGCGCGCACGGCCGCCCTGTCGCGCGCAGGGAGGAGCCCTGGGGGGGAATGCAGAAGGGGCAGGTCTTCTCGGCATGCCTGGACCTCCCGAGAGGCTGCTGGGGCTCCCCGAGCCTCCCCCGAAGGCACAGGGGAAACCTCCGCGGGAGGCGCGAGGGCTTCCGAGAAGCCCCGCCGCCCTCTGAGAGAAAGTCTCACGACATGCCCCCCTCTCACTTCCCCCCCGGGGCGCGCCACCGAGGCGAGGAGGGAGCACCGAGACGGCGACGACGACGACGACGACGACGACGACGACGACGACGACGACGACGAGCACGGCGACGACGACGACGACGGCGACGACGACGACGACGACGAGGGAGAAGCGAGCGCCGTCGAGGGCAGGGGGGCATGGAGCTCGGCGGGGCGGCGAAGGCGGCGGCGGCCGGCCGCGAAGAGGCGGGGCGGATGCGGAAAGCGTCGCCCACGGGGGGGGGGGCAGGAGGGCGACGACGACGACGACGACCCACAACCACAACCACGACCACGACGACCACGACGATCACGGCGACGACCGCGACGATCACGGCAACAAGCACGGAGATCATGACGACCATCACCACCATCAGCATCATCACGATGACTACGACGTCTACCACGCTGACGCCGACGACGCCGACACCGACGCCGACGCCGACGCCGACGCCGCCGCCGCCGCCGACAAAGACGACGCCGCGAACAACGACGACAAAGACGACAAAGACGACGACGACGAAAACCATCACCACCACCACCACCATCACTGTGACGACGACGACCACCACCACGACAGCGGCGACGACGTCGACAAGGACGAGGGCGACGACGAGGACGCCGACGAGGACGCCGACAACGGCGACAAGGACGACCACGGACGGAAGCGGCGCCCGATGCCTTCGACCCGCGGAGCAGCGAGACCACCGAATCCTTCCTCGAGGCACCACCCTGGCGGGCAGTCGCTCGCCGCCCCGCCGTCACCGCCGCGGGCGCCGCCAGCGGCCGTGGCGCCGTCGCCGTCGGCGTCAGCGGCGGTGTTGCAGCCGTCGTCGGCGTCGCCAGCCTCGCCGACGGCGCCGCCAGCGCCGCCGCCATCGGCATCGGCGGCGTTCTCATCGGCGTCGGCGATGTCACCGCCGCCGTCGGCGTCACTGGCGCCGCCGTCTGCGTCGTCGGCTGCGCCGCCGCCGTGGCCGTCGCCGCCAACCGGCGTTGTGGTCGACGTCGGAGGTATCGGCGTCGCTGTCGGCGTCGTCGTCGGCGCCGCCACCCCACGAGGTCCAGACCGCCCTGGTCGGCAGAGGCGAGACACTAGGCCGATGCATTCGAATGCGCGCATGCATCGGCCCCAGAAGGGAGAAGAGAGAGCCCCAGAAGACCAGTAGACCAGTCTTGATCACCTCCATCTCTGAGCACCACTGGCGGACGGCAGTCTTGTGGGACCAGGCACAAGCATGTCAATGCGTATAGCGCTCTTATAGAGTCAGTCGAAAAGCAACTACCAAACTGGCGCATACTCGTGCAAGAAGGCTGTCGCAGCCTCATAATCGCAGACTAAATTACACAGTTGTTCGGCCATGCCAGGGTGGACATTGAAAGTGACGTCATCCTCGTTGATTGCTGCAACAGCGATATTCAAACCACTCGCTGCGGGTCGAGTTGTCTTGACGATTACATTAGCCACAGCGGCCTCCGTGACTTGGCGAGTAAGGAACTGCTTAATCATGTCAACAGAAACTGGACGAGATACCCATGGGCTATCTGGCTGTTTCACAAACCTGTCTTCCCAACATGCCCATTCCTCAATGTGCAGCGTCGCGAATTTCCGTAAGAACTCACGGAAGTACTTTCGAATATCATCCTCGGAAAGCCAACTGATGGTGATCGTACGATTGAAGCGGCGATATAATGCTCTGAACTGCTGGCGGTACGCATCATCACTTAATTCCTCTGTGCCAGACAGAATAACAACACCCCGCGACAAGGTTGTGGCACCCTGGAGCACTTCGCAGAGACCTTCAGCCGAGATACCCTGGTGGCGCCTGTCGTTGTCCTTACTGCTTGCTGTCCAGCGTCCCAAGGCACCCTGAAATTCATCAAGCTGGACAACTGCCGCATCGTGCTTGAGCCAGCTGTGAGAAAAGACTTGCGCAAGCATATCATCTGTAAGCTTGGGACTGTGTAAGCTGATCCTGTAGACGGGCAAGCGCAACTGCCCGGCTAACCAAACGATGAATTCACTTTTGCCTACACCAGGGGGGCCCAGGATGAGGTAAATTCGAAGACCTGTCGTTGACCACAAAGTTGCATCAATGAGGATTTCTTTTGCAACGCTACGTTCCAGATAGAACCGATCGCCGACTGCCCCACTATCTTTCAATAAGCGCGTGCGTTCCAATTGCCACTCAGGGGTCCAATCCTTGGAGGCCTGTTGCAGTCCGTAGACTTCTACAACGTTGGCTGGCGGCTCCAAGGAGGCCCGCACACATTCAGCACACCACTGAGCCAAGAGAACCTTGTCATCAAGCAACGTCTCCTCTGTAGAGCTCATGGTCAAGCTCAGCATCTCAGTCCTTCAGACGAAGCCAGGGCGAGGATAAATTCAGACGAGGATACATCGGAAACCTCCGAGACCCGGCGGCTCTGGAGGATGCCTCGGGCGCGCCGCGGCCTCCGAGCGCTCCGAGAGCGCTCCGAGAGCGCTCCGAGGAGGCTCCGGAGCAGAGCCCTCCTCGCCCCGGCCCCGTCCGAGCTCCTCTCGGTGTGCTGGTCCCTGCCAGTCTGCACGTCGTCTCCGCGCGTGTACCGGACCTGGGGGAACCAAAAGCTGCCGACACTGCTAGACTCCCTGGACCTCTCCCGGGGTGCCTGTCTGACCAGAATCCCGAGGCGAATACAGCGGTGGCGACGAGGGCCTCCAAGGAGGCCCAAAAAGGGGAAAACGGGACAAGGGTAGAGGCATGGGTATCTTTTCCCCCTTGGAGTGAGCATCGTTTAACCGATCCCCATCCCCAGCGGCGTGGCATGGGCCCCGCTGGCCGATTTAACCCCCTAGATGGGGACATAGGTCGTTCTCTCCGGGTTTCGAGGGGTGCATCCCCAACTGGGGTGGTAACTTGGTGGGGGTCTCGAAGGAGATGGAGATGGGGATGGGGATCGGATAAACGATACCGACAGAAAAGGGAAAACGAGGAGAGGGCAGAGGTATGGGTGCCTTTTCCCCCTTGGAGGACCAGCACCTCGCGGCCAGAGGCCGGGTGCGCCGAGCGGCCCGTGCAGCCCGCCACCCGGTGCCCTCGGCAGGTCGCGGGGCGTGCGCTCGGCGCGAGCCCGCCGGCGGCGTGGCGGGCACGGCCGTGGCTCTCTCGGAGGGCGGTGCCCCCTGCGAGGCACAGCACGGCTTCCACCACAAAGCTTCCCACCGCGTAGCTTTCACCTCCACAGTGCAAGCGTCGTGTCGCACTGCCTGGGATCCACGCTGGCCAGCATGTGTTGTACGTCAACGTTTTCCTGTTCGGCAGGCGGGGGGGGGTCCACGTCCGCCGCCTGTGCTGTCGTCGTCCCGGGGCCCCGGCGGGCGGTGGGTCCTGGGTGCAGCAGGAGCTCAACCACCTGAGAGGCCCTCCACACGAGACCCAGCCCTGAGGACCCAGGACGTCCCCCTCGACTTGTGGTGCGGGAGCGCCACGCTCCCCGTCGCAGAGCCACCGAAACCCAGGAAACCCAGGGCACTCTGGTGAGCGTTTTCTTATTCGGCGTTTCGACAGTGGGCGGAAGGGGGGGGAGGGGGGGGGGTCTGGCTCCGGAACTCTGCTCAGAGCGATTGTTTGCAGCAGTGCGTCCTATGAGGGAGACTCCACCTGCTCGAAGCAGGCGCCAAAAGCAGCCAAGATCTACTCCAAGGAAGGGGGGGGGAGGTGCGAGGGCCCGCGCCGATCGGCTGAACAGTGAATAAGAGAACGACGACCTGGAGGCCAGAAGGCTGTCACGCGGCATGGGTTTCCACTGCACATTGTCGTCGTCCTGGGACCCCAGCGGGCGGTGGATCTGGATGTGTATATCCTTAGGTCGGGCATGTCCTCCTACAGGCAGTTTTGGGGCGAAAAATAAGGAATAGACAAAAAATGCCCAAAACTTGCCAAAGATAGTCAAAAATCGTTTTCATACTATGTTTTGACTATTTGGGAACATTCCTCCTGTCGAGGGACGTGCCCGATCTAAGCATGTCCAGATCCACTGCCTGCCGAGCCCAGAGAGCGGTCCCCCAGGCGGCGGTCGTGGACGAGCCCCCCCCTCGCCGCAATCGTCCCCGGGGGAAGGGGGGGATTACGCAGAAGGCGTCTATACACCACCACCGTGCCAAGCCAGGGCATCCTGGCCCTGGCATGGTGCATACGCCCTCCTGGCCGAGGCCAGGAGGGTCTACACACCATCGTAGGGCCCAGGACGGCCCTGGCCAGGCACGGTGGTGGTGTATAGACGGCTTCGTCGGAGGGGAGGCGTCGCTTTCTGGTGCTCCAGTGCGGCCTGCAGGCGGCTCTGGGACGGCAGAAGACCAACCCAAAACGGCCGCATTGTGCCCCAAGGCCAACCCAAGAAGTCCCAACGGCCCTCCAAGAGCCCAAGGATGTTCCCGAGAGGCTCCAAGAGGACCCCAACAGACGCCACGAGCCCCCCATCGAGGCCCTCAGAGGCCAACAGAAACCACCATACAATAATAACAAGAATAGCAACAATAATAATGGTCAGAATAAGAATATTCATATAATATTAGTAGTAATGATAATAATGATACGAATAAGAATAAGAATAAGAATAATAATAATAATAAAATAATAATAATAATATAATAATAATAATAATGATGATGATACTAAAAATAGGAATAAGAATAAGAATTAGAATAGTAATGATAACACTAATAATAAATAATGACATGAACAAATAATTAAATATATTAATGAATAAATAAATAAAAATAATGATAATGGTAAGAAGAAGAAGCATAATGATAATAACAACAATATATGCGCTTTGCGTTCGAAGCTTCACGGGCACAGATCGCCTCAGAAGGACCTCACAGAGCCCCGAGGAGCCCCTGAAACAGCCCAAGACTTACTGAAGACGAAGCCAGGGCGAGGATAAAATCGGGCGCGGATACATCGGAAATCTCTGGGACCCCAGCGGCTCCGGAGGATGGATCGGGCGCGCCGCAGCCTCCTCAGAGCGCTCCAGATCGCTCCGAGAGCGCTCCGAGAGCGCTCTGGAACGCCCTGGAACGGATCTGTCCTCGTTCAAGCCCCGTCCGAAGACGGCCCGACGAGGGCGCCGAGACGGCCCCAAGACGGGCCGACGGCCTCCCACGAGCGGCCCCCGAGCGGCCCGGGGGGGGGCTCCGAGACGGCCCCGAGGCCCGCACGAAGGTCCCAAAGATGGCTCCGCCGAGCCTCTGCGGAAGAGCTCGGTGGATCAGTCGCGCCCCAGAGGCCCCGCAGGCCCAGAGGTCCCACAAGAGGGCCCCAAAGAGGCCCCCAAGAGGCCCCAGAGAGGAACTGCAGCCTCCGAGCCGGCCTCAGGCGGGAGGGAGGGGAAGAGGAGGCGGAAGGGGAGAAGGGAGCAAAGACGAGGACCAGGCTGAAAACCAGGATCGGGTCGGGCGAAAGGGGGGGATAGCAAAGGGGGGGTTGAGAATCAGCTCACGTAGCTGATTTTCCTGGCGCCTCCCGGCGCCGGAGGCGGCTATGTATCGAGGAATGGGCCCCTCGGTGGGGCCGAAACCAGCTGCATGCAGCAGATTTCGTAAACCCCCCTTTCCCAATCCCCCCCTTTCGTCCAGCCCGACAGGAGGGAGCGTTGGAAGCCCACGCCAGTTCAGACAGGGTACTGGGCTGTCCGCGACAACGCAGCGGCGGGGGGGGCCGCAGGCAGCTGGAAACTGCCAGCACGATCGTGATAATGGGGGTGCCGTTGACACAGTCGAAAATGGTTGCTGCTGCTGCTGCTGCTGCTGCGACTCCTCGCCGGGTGCAGCACCCTGGCGCTTTCGCAGCACCACGCGCATACTGCGCGAGGCCCGGCCCCAGAAGCGCAATTTGACCTCACTGAACCTCTTGACCTTATCGTATTGTAGAAAGACTTCAACATCCCTGCTACTACTATCTGGTATCCGCCACCGCGCTTGTAGCGGCTGGTATGTGTGTGCGTGTGTGCGTGCGTGTGTGCGTGCTTGTGTGTGCTTGTGTGTGCTCGTGTGTGTGTGCTTATGTGTGTGTTTGTGTAGCTTGTGTGTGGTGTGTGTGTGTGTTGTGTGTGCGTGTGGGCGGGGGGGTGGTATGCGGTGTGTGGTGTGTGGTGTGTGTGGTATGTGGTGTCGTATGTCGTGTGTCGTGTGTCGTGTGTCATGTGTCGTGTGTCGTGCCGTGTGTCGTGTGCCGTGTGTCGTGTGTTGTGTCTTGTGTAACGTGTGGCGTGTGCCGTGTGTCGTGTGTCGCATGTCGTGCGTCGTGTGCTGTGTGTTGTGTGCTGTGTGTCGTGTGTTGTGTGTGTTGTGTAACGTGTGGCGTGATGCGTGTGTCGTGTGTCGCATGTCGTGCGTCGTGTGTTGTGTGTTGTGTGCTGTGTGTCGCGTGTTGTGTGTTGTGTAACATGTGGCGTGTGGCGTGTGTCGTGTGCTGTGTGGAGTGTGTTGTGTGTTGTGTGTTGTGCGTTGTGTGTTATTGTGTTTTTGTGTTATTGTGTTGTGTGTTGTGTGTTGTGTGTTGTGCGTTGTGTGTCGTATGTCGTGTGTTGTGTGCGTGCGCGTGTGCGTGAGCGTGCGCGTGTGCGTGAGCGTGCGCGTGTGTGTGTGTGTGTGTGCGCGCGAGTGCGTGCGTGCGTGCGTGCGTGCGTGAGTGCGCGTACGTGTGTTGGACCCTTGTTCCCCAAGCAGTGATTGCACTCCGGGGTTCTTACTTCGCTTCGTGGAATAATTGCTTGGGAGTTCTGGGTTCTCGCCACGCTGCAGGCCCGTGCCGCCTCGGGGACGCCTCGTGGGCGCCCCGCGCCTGGGGGTATGCCGAGGTTGCGCCACGTTGCTGCCCGAGTCGCCTCGTGAGCGCCCCACATGGCACGACAGAGCCTACACCACACGGCTTACAGCACATGGCCTGCACCGCATACTGGTCATACCCGCAGCTCACACAACACAGCTTACACAGCATGGCTTCCGCCACAAAGTTTCCACCGCGTAGCTCTCACCTCCACAGTGCAATATCGTGTCGTACTGCTTGGGATCCACGCTGGCTAACATGTGTTGTCTGTCAACGATTTCGTATTCGGCGTTTCGACAATGGGCGAAAGGGGGGGCGTAGAGGGGGGGGGTCTGGCTCCGGACCTCTGCCTAGTGTGGCTGTTTGCAGCAGTGCGTCCTATGGGGGAGGCTCCACCTGCTCGAAGCAGGCGCCCAAAAAAGGCGAAGATCAACTCCATGGGGCGGGGGAGGGGAGGGGTGCGAGGGCCCGCGCCGATTGGCAAAGCAACGAATAAAAGAACGATCACTGTTAGAGCCGCCGATTGCGACGATCTGGTCTTGGGGGCCGACGCATCGAGCCCAGCGCGTGCTCCCATGTATGCGACAGAACCACTGCGTTGGAGAGAGGCCCTCACAAAGAAGACCGCGCAGAGAGAGAGAGAGAGATTCTACACAGAAACGCCGCGCTGCGTACACACACGGCGGGACGACGTGACAAAAGGAGCTGGCCTTGGTGCGGGTGGCCAGCGCCGCAGGCAAACGAGCACGGCACCGCACGGCACGGTACCCCTGCCGCACTCCAGAGCTTTTTGCCGCGGCTCGGCTCGGCACGGCACGGCGCGGCACGCGGCGCGGCAGGGCACGCCCGCCTGCGGCCCTGCACCTGCGCATCGAAGCTGCACGGCACCGCAGCTGCCGATGCACGGATGACCGCCAGCAGCACGGACGTCTTGAGCAATCGCCGACTCCAAAAAAGCTCCACGAACATCGGAACTGCACGGCACGGCGCGGCGCGGCCAAGCGGGCACGCGGCACACGCTAGGACACGGCACGACGCTGCACGCCTCTCGCGCTTGTCACCGTCGTGGGCACGGAGGGGCACGGCGCGCGGCCACGAGACGGCACGGCGCGGCACGCTCCTCGCACTCTGGAACCCGGGCACGACACGGCACGGCACGGCACGCCGTTTCGCAGCCCAAGAGAACGGCACGGCACGAGGGGGGGGCAGCGAGAAGGAGAAGGCCTTCTCAGAAGGCAGCGGGGCTTCTCAGAACCCCTCCCCCCGGGCCTCCTGCGGAGTTTCCTGCGTTTTCGGGGAGAGCTCAGGATACGGCACGGCACAGCTTCCCTGTTCTATAGATTAGGTACGGAAAAGCACGGCAAACTCTTCGCAGTCCACAACCCAGGCACGGCACGGCACGGCACAGCACGGCATGTGGGCACGACACCGCACGGCGAAACCGGGCCCAAAGCAGGCCCAACCAGGCAAATCGCAAGAAGTGTCAGGCAAAACCAGGCCGAATCAAAGCCAAACCAAGAAAATCATGAGGACATGTCAAACCAAACCGCGCCGAAACCAGGACACGCCTGGCAGATTGCGAGGACGTCTCTCAGGCGAAAAATTGCACCGAAACCAAGCCGAACCAAGCACACCACGAGGAGCCTCAAGGGGAACCAGGGAAAGCCTTAGGATGTCTCGGGCGGCGCGCCCTGCCAATCCATGCCGAACCAAGCCAAACCAGGCCAGACACCAGGGCCAACCCTGGCAAATACCGATCATGTCCTGCGCGAAACGTCTCAAACCTGGCTCCATCCACTCTCCTGAATCAAATTAAACCAAAAAGGGGTGGACGGCTGAAGGGGGTCCCACTGCAGGGGGTCATTCAAGCATGATGCTAGGGGAGCGCAGCAGCACAAATCTGGCGCTGAGGGGCAGCAACATGCGTCCGTCACTCGGTTGCTGCTCGGGCTTCGAAGTGGCGGTAGGAGAGGAATATTCCCCAGCCTGTGGCATCTAGGCATGGCACTGCACGGGATGGCGTGCGGGCACGACACTCGGGAGCGGCCAAGAGGGGGGTGTCCAAGAGGGGGGGGTGCAAATCATGACCGGCGGCACGTGCGCGGCCCAGCGGGGGGGCCAGGGACGTAATGAAATAAGAGGAGGCGCCATGAAATCTGGAGAAATATCATGGCCCACGCCATGATATCCACCCCCACCCTAGTCATCACCCCCCTCTTTGCCGCCCCCGAGACACGGCGCGGCACAGCTCTGCCACACTCCGGAGCCTGGGCACGGCGCGGCACGCCGGCCGCACATTTTTTTTGTTCGTAATCTGCAGTCCTGGGCACGGTTCGCGGCAGGACAAGGCGGGCATGGCCGGGCACGGCACGCTGGCGGCGCATGCTTCGCTTTTTCTGGGCTCTGGAAGCTGGCGAAAAGCAACTGTTCATCCCTTGCAGGGCAGTTTTTGATACATGGGATTTTCAATAATGTAAGATTCTTAATCATGATCAATGTATGAATAAATTGATGCATGAACTCATCGTTGTTTTTAATACCAAACCCTGCATTTTTCATTCATGATCCGCACGCGGAGCATGTATTAAAAACGGCACTGTACAGCATTCGGGGAACATGCAGGCATCAAAAGCGCGGCAGCGCAACAGGATGAGGTTGCATGCCTTCTCTACGTGTTCGGTGATGCCTTCAAACAGGCTCTTGGACGATCGGCGGTCCACGAAAGCTTGCAGCGTCATTGTCTCTGTCCAGATCCTTTGCAACTCATTCCAGAGACATTTCAGAGATGCCAGAACGTAGAACGCAGAGCCCAGCAGGAGCCACCCTCTTTGGTTAGGATTCTGCACCCACTCGTTCAGCAGCAGCGCGAATAATCCAGCACTTGCGACCACGCAGACAGTGGCAAGACTCCAGACGGCAAGACGCCTGAGAATCGGTGCGTGGACAACGTGGAGCTCTACGGCCGTGAGGCGGTCCGAGTCGGCGGAATTCTGCAACATCTCCACGTCACCCACATTTCCCTGGCTGCCGCCACTTGCACCAAGGAGTGGAGCGGCAATACCACGCAGTCCTCTGAAGCGCGCGCAGATGCGTCGCATGGCACCGACAGGCGGCAGCGCCTAGAGTTGAAGCTCCTGTGCGTTCAATGCCGTTCTCTTGCACCAGAACGCCAGTGTTTTCAGCCAAAATGACTTCGGTCGTGTGGGTGACAATTGGCTTCCGCAAAAACGAGTGAACCTTAAACGAGAGAGATGACCAATGGATCTGAAAAGTAACATAACACATCGAACTGGAAGACTCAGCTGACATTGAGACCTTCGGGCCTCTGGGACACGGGCACTTCTACTTCAACCTCGACCTGCATGCTGTGACCGAAGAACCGAAATCACAAAGGAATCAGTGCCAACGAAGCAAAGGAAACGATGCCATCGCTCCAACAAAGCGCCCGACCTGAGATGCCTCTTGCTAAAGAATCGCCACCGTGCCCCGAGGCACGAGCTGGAGTGTCCCCCAGGTCTCTTGAGCTAGGGGAACAAAAAGTGGCATAAACAGAAGAACTCGGAGGCCCGCGCGGATTTCTCGGATCCGCGCTGACCCCCCTGGCGGCGCCTCTGGCGACGCCCCTTGCGCGCTCCGCGCGCCAGGGAGGGGGGTCCAGCGCCGATCTGAGAAATCCGCGCGGACCTCCGAGTTCTTATGTTTATGCCACTTTTTGTTCCCCAATGAGCCCTCCGACCTGAGACGCCTCTTGCTAAAGAATCGCCACCGTGCCCCGAGGCAC